CAGGAAAGTAATGAAGACAATCAAAATGATGTTTATGATAATGTTGTGAATCCTTGGATTAGGATTAGTGGTTCTGAATTGGATAGAGATGATCACTATGAATTTTTAGAAAAAAATAGAGCCTTTAAATATGCCTCATGGGATAAGCACCCCATTTGAGAACTTATGCTAATTTTTACACAATATATCATTAAAATGTTTGTGAGAGAGAATAATAATAATAACTAATAAGTATGCAGACAACTTTCTCAGTAACACCCAGCTCAAATAAACCATATTTGGATGCACAATGGTGAAAAGGACCGCTCTGTCTAAAGCAACCGAAAAGTACCCCGAGGGTAGGAAAAGGAGTAGAACTCTGTGCCAGGGGTGTCTCAAGGGCCTCCATGGGCCTTATTTCCCCAAACACAAGTGTTAGGATCCATTCATGCATCATCCATCAAAAAATTAACATAATTTAATAATTTACACCGGTAAGTCATGTTTATTCTCAGTCGAAATCGACGAGTCTGTTTGCATGCAGGAAAAATCATGTCTGGCGAGTTTTGCCACAACAATGGGTCTTTTGAGGCATTTGTCAGGAGATTAGTGAGTGTTTCATGTTTTGTGTACAAGATAGATCAGCAGCTACACATTACACTTATGCCGATAATCACATTACACTTATGCCGATAATCACAGCACACATCCTGCTGGGCACAAAAGTCATCATGTCAGATCAATGGAGAGCATATAATGCAATTGGCACCACTCCGGGATTGACTCATCAAACGGTCATTCATTCTGTTAAGTTTTTGGATCCAAACTCAGGTGCCAATAGCCAATACCCAAAGCATTTAACGTTTGTGGAAATCTGCAAAAGAGAGAAACAAGCGCCACAATGGCACACACAGACATATGCTCGATTTGTATATGTGTATTCATGTGGAATCAACGTGTTAAAGTAAATGGTTTGTATGTCTTCAACGCAATTCTAGACGATATTGTTCAATTTTGGCCACTACAGTAGCCAGTAGCAGAGGACCTTTAAAGAAGTAAGTATGTTTTTATTCATAATAACATTTGTTTTATTGGAACTGTGAAATAATGTCAATAATAATAATATATAATTTTTGAATTAAAAGTTTTTTTAGGCTAATTCAGATTGATAGGTTTAGGGATACATTTTAGGGTTCATGTTAGGTTTAGGGATACATTTAGTTTAGGGTTCAGGCTCAGGTTAGTTTAGGGATACATTTAGGCTTAGAACATAAGTTCGTGGGTCACGATAACCAAGATGGCGGCCGCGGGTTGATCTCTCCGAATTGTTTTTGGCCATTTTTTTTTTTATTCGAAAGAACATTTGTTTTATGGGAAAAGTGAATAATAATTTTTGCGGTGAATTAAAATTGAAGTACCCACTTCTGATACCGGGTCCGAATAGCCGCAGCCAAACTTTTCATTACAATTACAGATACGACAGTAGCCGATTTGCCGCCAAAAAAAAAAAAAAGCAACTTTGGTCATGTTAATGATTATAGAACTATATTTAAAATAGAATTTAAAAATACAATAAAATTATAAACATAAACGTATTCTTACTTGCTTCTTCAACGCTAAATATGCCTCTAAGATGGCAAATTGCCAACAGGAAGTATCCGTCATAACTATCACGTGACCAGCCGAATATCTAAAGCCCTCTCTTGACCAGCCGGATCCGGATAGCCAATTGCCGCTATAGGTACCCGGGTACCTATAGCCACTCCGTTTTTAAATAGCGAAATAAACGAACTTAGCGGGTTTTGATTTTAAAAACTAGTAAAATATTGTGAAATAGCACTTCATAGATGAGGCAATGGGACTAACTCATTTTTTTCAAAAAATCGACTTAGCAGGGTTTGCTATTGGACTCCTCAAATATTAATCACCAAGAGTGTATTACGGAGGAATTTGTAAATATTATTATTCAATAAATACTTATAGTAATTTTCTCCTTTAAGAAAGACTTCGATTCAGTCTATACTATATGTATATAGATTGGTTGCTATGTCTGTGTAGTAATTTGGCTTAAATAACGAATCCCTAGACAGAGTGCCAAGAGGATATCTCATACGAGAGATACCCCTCACTAGTATATCCTAAGTCAGATCACCACACACCCCAATCTTCTCCACGAAGGCTTAAAATGCTAAAATGTGTTCAGACAGTAGGCGGGAGCAGGCACTATTTATGAATTATTGATGTAAATGAAGATGCTATTCTTGTGAGAATGAATTTTGATTTTTTTTTTATTGTAGAAAAGGCCTTTTTGACTAACCCTAGTTTGAAATGGAACCAAGCTAACATGCTCGGAATTTCCCTCGCTCGTTAACAGTAGGGGGAATTTTAATAAGAACACGTTGTCAGATTGCTACGATTTACACAATTATGGTTGTGCATTATCCACAAACTAACTTTTAAAACTTTTCTCAAAACCGCACTTTGGCCACGTTTGTCTCATAAAATGCTATGAAATAAAAACTTATAGTTCAGCTTTAAAATGATTTTTACCATTATAATCAACGTCCTAATCTATGCAATCACAATAAAAATCAGAATTAGACTAGTCGCTGAGATTCGACTGAAACCGTCGTGGAGGGTCACATTATATATATATGAGAATGGGGAAAACTCGCGGGCCGCATTACAATAAACTTTGCTGTCATGTAGCGGGCCGCAAAATATCGTCTTGCGGGCCGCGAGTTTGAGACCCATGCCTTACCCCATCCACTTAATTACTCTTCTTCTATATTTTGAGGGCCCACGATCAATTTATTGATCATTCTGGCTCCTTTTTTGTTAGCTCTGATAATCTGTTGTATGTTGAGCTGTTTATTGGATGATCCTCGTTTTTCTATCTCATCTCCTTATAAATTGTAGTGTCCAGGTATTCATTGTAATTTTAGGATGTTGTTTATTTTCAGTAGTAGTGATTTTACGGTTTTAAGGTATTGGTGCTAAGCTATCTGAAGTATAATTTTGCTATCAGTGACGATAACGATATTTCTTTGTTTATTGGGGTAAACTGTAAAAATTGAGGAGAGTTGGTGTAGTGCTGCTTCAATTACAGTGGCGTCTGATTCATATTTACTTAAGATAGTCCTACAAGGGTTGTAGAGTTCATTACATTATCGTTCAGTGTACTCTACATACATGTAGGGCTCGATTGAAGGTTGATCCAGCCGTGTATATTAGGATTATATCCTCTGGGTAGGAGGCTGTGTTTTTTTTCTACAACTGTTCTTTTCTTTTCTATATTGCAATTTGATATGTAAATGTAGGTTTAGGGATAGGTCATTGGGTATGATTTGTAGTGCTTCTCTGTCTATTGGTAAGTTGTGATTCAGTTTCTGAGGGTACATTTAATATTGATTATGTTTTAACCTATGTCGTGGTCTCCATTTATCAATGATTTGTCTATTAAGGTGTTGTTTGTGTAGCCTTCTGAACCTTTCTACCATATCGATATTTACTGGATCTATTCTTAGATTTTTAGTATGCATTTCACTTGCTCGTGTACATCTTAAGCCTCTTGAGATTAAGCTTTGTACCCTTTTAAGAGATTGAGCATCACCATAAAGTGGTAACACCAGAGCATTGGTGCCACCGAAGCAGGGTCCCATCCGAGCAGGGTCTCACAAAAAATAGTGTACCACCAGAGCAGGCTACCTCAAGACAGTTTTTAAACGGATTTAGGCTGCCAAAAGTAGTGATTCGATTGGCGTGAATATAAAAAAATACAATGGAATATATTGTACATGTTTTTTTTTAATTTCAAGCTGTTTTGGAATCTGAAATGGACCATTTGCTTAAATTTTGCGGTCAATATTCGTTTGATGAATATGGGTCATGTGATACATATTTTGAAAAAAGGAAATGATTGAAATTAAGTATAGGAGAATATGAAAAAAAGAACGTTGTTTTGTTGCATTTTTTCCAGATTTTCCCATACGTTTTCACTCATTTCCTGTTTTGCGAACCCGGTTGCAGTGTCTCCCCTTATTACCGAAACATATTTTGGAAATCTTTAGATTATTTTTCTCTCTTTTTACTACCACACGTCCACTCATCTATGGGATTTTTTTTATTTAACTCACTGAAATCTCCGTGAAAAAAATATGCACAGCACTCCGGAGAGCTCATTATGCTGCATTAATATTGGTTAGATTGAAGTTATGGGATCATGCTTGTAAACATTTGTATATATAGTAAAGCACGAAACCAAAAATTACAGACAGTATCAGAAATGTTAATACATATTTCAAAGTAAAACAATATAGTAGAACATTTAAAAGGCAAGTGATTTTAAACTATTGAAAGAAACATATTAAGGCATTTAATTTATTTTTACTAAATTTATTGAGAACAAGTGTTTTTATATGGCCTTATAAAAATACCATTTATTAGATACTGCTGTATACGACAGAGGCGTCCCGTTATCTCGATCATTGGTCTCCTCAGTCCCCAATAAACCGATCCTCCCTTACCCTCTGTACACCCCATTCCCATCCTTCAATAACATATCTTTCACCCAAACCATTTCCTTTCACACTCCCCATTATCTCCCCCACCCTATCCTCCACCCTCACTGTACCCTCTCATTCAGCTCTCCTTCACCCAAGCCATTGTATTCCAGACACCCTACATTCACCCACCCCCCTCCATCCCCTTTACACTCTCCCCTTCGTTTAAAATAATGTTTCTTCCAACCTCGCTAAATTTTGATGATCTCGGTAAATCGATTACCAACATTTTAACAACTTCCGCAAAATTTTTGAAAGGGAGCATCCGATCGGAACATTATTTTAAATAATAAAACATGAAATAAACCAAATATATGTCAATAAATTAAATAAAAAAACTATATTTTTTCTTGAGTTTTTGTTTAAGAATACGGAACTATAATTGTGTAATGTCTTTATTGCAAAATATATGATTGTATATAAATTTTAAAATTTAAAGAGAGTCTCCCTTGGGTTTACATTTCCGCCGTCAAATACAATACTTGAAGCAGTTTTAAGATACAAACTACAACAGTATATGACACTTTATAGTTATAAGCTAATTAATCATTTGTGCCGCGTAATTATGGCTTCAGCCTTGGAAAACTATGTTAACAGTATCCTTTTTATAAATTATTTACGTCATTTTAGCATTAATAAATAATGGCAGGAGACGTAATTAAGTTTACTTTAAGTTTAAATAAGTTTAAAATAAGGCAGGCTGCCAGCCAGGTGTTAATTTCAAAATTTTTAGTCATAGAGCGATGTGCCCTTAAAGTCTAAACCTAAGCAGCTAAGCATGATTCAGGATGAACATGAATCGAATCAATTTCAATTTAATGGTTAAGCGAATTTACTTTTGATTCACAACTTTGAGTTTCTGTATAGGATTCTCTCCCCTTTGTTTATTCAAGCATTGTTGCTAAAGTTAACTAATTTCTTTTTAAAAATATTGCTACTATTACCTTGATGGAAAGTTTTGGTAAATTTACCCAATCCGCGCCACTCATTTCCCCATGTTTCTCCACTACTTTTTTCCACACTGCTGCCATCTTTGTTGCCATGATGGCAGATGAGTCATAACAACAAAGGTTTTTAGTTTTAAAAATGAGTGCTAAAATACATCTACTAAAATGGGTAGGGAAAGGGAGAGAATTAGTTGTTTTAACTTCTTACAGAGAGAAACAAAAATTAGGAAAAAAACACGCTAAAATTGAATGAAATAAAATTTTGAGAAAATTCTTCAATCATAAAATCTATAACTCTGCCTTACCTGAATTCTAAGTATGTATCCCGAACTCAAGCATAACTCCCCCCCCCCCCTCCCAATTTTGTCCTCCCTAACTGGAGTGTAAATTGACCATTAAATAGACCCCCCTAACTTGAGCATTTATCTTTAAACCTAAAATCCATGACCTATATCCCGAACCCAACCATAACTCCCCCCCCCCCTCCCAATTTTGTCCTCCCTAACTGGAGTGTAAATTGACCATTAAATAGACCCCCCTAACTTGAGCATTTATCTTTAAACCTAAAATCCATGACCTAATGCGAACCCTAAAACCATGTGTTCGTGTGCTACAGCTACACACTTTACTGACTGTACTGTAATGAGAATATTGTAAATTAGAATACAAATTTTGCCGGTATTTTGAAAAATGGATTTTAATTTTTCTGATAACTTTTGGATTTTTTTTTTGGTGGCACCTGCAATAAAGTTTTTTAAAGTGTAATAAATGAAAATGTAAGTTGGGTTTTCATTATTTTTTAACATATTAAAAATAATGTTGATCTTTTTATTAAAATTTATGATTTTTTCAGTATAGTGCAGTGTGTAAAACAGTAGCATACGAACACATGATTTTGGGGTTCAAGTTAGGTCAAAGATTTTAGGTTTTAAGATTTACCCTCAAGTTAGGGGGGATTAGGTTCAGGGGTAAATTTACGCTCAAGTCGGGGGGAATTAACACTTGAGTCAGAGTTACTGAGTTAGCATTCAGATTAGGTAGAGTTGTAAATTTTAGATTGAAGGTTTATCTAAAAAAATTACAAGTAATTAATTGCAGACCTGTTTACTCTTATGATTTTGGCGTACAATGTATGATTTTGATGTGTACATATTACATATTATATACTGCATGTTTATTTTTTTACTATTAAGATGTATATAACGATTTTTTGATGATATTGTACGATTTTAAGAGTTTGATGGTAAACAGGTCTGTAATTAAATTTTAATGATTTTTTCCTAATTTTCATTTCTCTCTGTAAGTAGCTAAAGAAACCATCTTGGTTGCCATGACACGTTTTCTTTTCATGGCAACCAAGATGGCATCATGGGAAACGCGTGGCCCGCTGAACGTAAATTTATCTAATGGCTAAATTTATATGGATACATTTAGTTTGTAATTTTGTTCCTTTCCCCGCTTACTTTTAACTGTGTAAACAACATTCACTACTATGATAGCCTTAATTTATGTAGAAAGTAATGCCACTACTACTATAAAACCAATTACTACTAGATGTGAATGTAGGAACTTTATTGTATCGCTCAGATATGAGGCAAGACCCATTGATAACCTGTGCTCAGCCTCTTTCACTTTTAGTGTCCTCTGTCTCAACTGCGGTTGTTACAAACACTATGATCGCCAAAGGCTAAGAATAGTTGTGTTTTCATTTTTAAAAAAACAAAACAAAACATTGCACCCAGCCTTTGTGGTTTTGCCATTTCCAGTGAAACTAAACCGTCATCAAATAGATATATCATGATATAAATATGTCATCTATGAATGAAAAACACATTTTGAAAATGATTAGATCTATAGGTTTTTTTTTTTTTTACAACAACACAATTGAAATAGAATATTTTAAATCTTTTATTTTTTCACAGTAAAATTTACAACAATGTCAGTAATAATAAATACGAAGTGGCTATTCGCACCTGAGTACCAGAAGTGAGAGGTTGGGATTAAAAAAATATTTAAAATATTATTGATGGGTTTGTAAGACTGAGGTATCAAATGAAAGATAATTGAATGGACTATATGTTTGTAAACTTACTTCTTAAATTTAACTAAAATAAACTAGCACAAATGACATCCGAATAGCATTTAGTCAAAATGACCCTGGACACGCAGCGCCACCATTCGCAAAAAACATACTATAACTATAAATTTAGCTATTGCTTCGAGTGTCATTGAACACCACATATTGTCTGATGAATAGTATTAAGAAACTGGGGAAAGCTTGGTCATTTCCAAAAATGTATAAGTTTATAAATACCAAGACATTCTCAGTCTGTCTTTGTTGGAAAGTGATCTTTGTGAAAAAATTTACCTATTTACAAAATATAATTAAACTTATGATATCTTTTTAGATTACCGGGGTACATGTAAATGTTTTACTGAGGAGATAAAAAAAAATTGGCAGGTTATACGTTTTGTAACTATTTAAATCAGGCCTACGTGTAAAGGCTTCATAACAGGTCTGCATGCAGCCTGATGGCCAGTCCTATAATATGTTAAGTTAAATTTTATTTAGAAAAAATGTATTTTAGTTTTACTATACTTATATACTAAACTTAGTTAAACTTAAATACTGGTTTTTTTAAATTTTTTTTTTAGATCCACAGTGTTCAAATAGATCTAGCTAAGTTTTTAATTCTTTAATAAATGTAACTTAATTTCTGTTATTCTCCTTAACCGGCTATAAGAAATGGTTGAAATTGTGACAGCTGATGGACGTGTTATAGTGGTGAGTTGAATTTGAGTCAACAATTAAGAATGTAATCAAATATGTCAGCTTAATACTTACAAAATCTTTAATGTTGTAGAAATTGTTACAAAGTTTATGTAGTAAAATTGGATAAATGTTGTTGTTTTTTTTATTTGCAAGGGTACCCTCAAGGGTTTTGATCAAACTATTAACCTTATTCTTGATGAGAGTCATGAAAGAGTCTATAGCACTGGTCAGGGTGTTGAACAAGTCATTCTTGGACTTTACATTGTTAGAGGAGACAATGTGTAAGTGTTATTTGTGTATTTAATTGTCTTTTAATTGAGTCTGTTTTACATTTTTGTGGGTGCGAAAGTTGTGAGAATTTTTCAGGCTTTAAAGAAATGTTTAGAAATTAAGAATCTTTTAAATCACTTTTTTAAAACACAACTCCTTGGAACGACATATATTTTCCTTTCTGACTTCATTCTTTTTTAGTACCGGTATTACTTCGTCATAGTTATTCCTACATTATCATTAGTTGCCACTTTTTAAAAATGTAGTAAGGTTACTGCTACCCAGCAAAGCACTTAAAAATCATTTACCTTTTCTACTTGCCTTAAGGCATGCAGCTCTTCAGAGGAATAGATTATAGATTCAGCTTTATTATTTTTTTTTTCAAATAATTAATAACCTTTCAACAACCTGCTCCTTGCCTGCAGTTCACAAAATAAAATATGTCCTTGGTTAATATAATTTATAAAAAATGGCTCCTCACTCAAAAAATTGCAGAACCATGTTTGAAGCTGACTTTGTCCTGAATTGAAATGAAACACATACTTAAGCTGTTTCTTAAATTAGGATTCATTATTTTATCCCACTAAATGTGATGATGATAGGTGTCAGAATTCCTGTTATCTCCTTAAAAAGTAATGATTAATTTAGTTTCTTTTAATTGTATCAGTTTTCTTCTTTCTCCTAGAGCGGTTATTGGTGAGGTGGATGATGACACAGATAATGGACTTGACTTTGAAAGCATTCGAGCAGAGCCTTTGAATGCAATCACTCATTGAGGATTGAAAGTTGTATTGAAAGACCATTGAACCTCAGAAGTAAAACTGTTAGATGCCTATAAAATTTGTAGCAAGTGAAATATTTTAAAGATAAATGTGGGACTTTTGCAACACTAAAGACATGAAAGAATGCAGCTTTCACATGTGTCTGTCAAAGTGCAGAATTTTAATGACTCTTTTTGGTACTTGCTCAAGAAACTAAAAAAATAAAATGTAAAAAAAATGGTATAATGTTTCATAAATTCAAACAATTTGTACTTGTACTAATTGCTAATGCCATGCTAACAGTAATGGCTTTTAGTACTAATACACTTAAAATGCATTTTTAACATAGCTTTTAGAAAGGAACTGAAATTAAATTTGGAATTTCTAATTGACCCAGACTGCCTTTAATTTAAAGTTTAAGTGCCAAAACTGATAAAAAAGAATTAATTAAAAAAATTAAAAATGGTGTTTTAACCAGTTTGAGAAATCTTTGTTTTATCTCAGGGTTTCTTGAATAATGAAAAATTTCAAACTTGTATGTTTGAGCACTTCAGATGCAAAACATGGGTTAAGTTTTAAAAATTATGCCTTTTGTTTACTGGTGAGAATATTTGTTTTGCATCCATTCTAATTATAATGATAAAAAAACCCATTGTATTTCATTCAACTTTTTATTGCTCATCCTCTTGTTTGTCATTTGATTTTTTTACAAAACTGTTATGTACTGGTAAAAATAAATTTACAAGAAATGTGGGGGGTTTTCAAACTGAAATCTGAAATATGATTCATTAGAGGAATTACAAAATTTTTAAAATGTAAATAATATATTGTTCCTTCTACACCACTAATTTTTACTGCATTTGGTGGTTTTTGGATCACATTCACAAATAGACAAAAAATGTGGGTGCGAAGGTTTTGAATGTTTTTTGTGACAAATAAAAAGTATGTGATGCATGTATGAATAGTTTTGTAAATATTTTAGTTGAGTACCATGGTTCAATGTAGTGCAAGCAAAATTTATGTTGAGTTGTAGCTATTTACGCTTCTTAATTTTGTGGGCTGGATTTAACAAAAGAAAGAAAATCCTGGTGCCCCTGAGTCCAGAGTATGAATGAGACTTGCATATTTAGATTACCCATGGTAATACCTATTAATACCTGGATGAAAGTTACAAATTTGTCTCATCTTTAATGTGTAAAATTAAAATCATTGTTTTACTGGAAGTGTAGAGCATGTGTAATTACTTTAATGTTGAACACATTTAATGTCTGGAATAAAATCTGATTAATGAGTTATGTCTATTTTTGAAATGATTTGTCCTCATATAAAGAATGCTTAGTTAACTTAGTTTGTACGATTAGCCAGATTAACAACAAAAGATTGCGTATTGTTCAAAAAGGGTCTTCTTTTGTAGATGTAAGGGCAAAAACAGAATTAAAAAAAGAAATACATCAGGGTATGAAATAAGGGGAAAGTAGTCAAAGGAGGTAAAGAAAAAGAAAACAGGAGAGGGATTTACATGAACATAACGTAATATTTATATAAATAAAAACACTAGAACTAGAGTGATCAACACTCTTGCTGGTCAGTATACGTATTTATATCCTGAGAGTGAACATGAGCTACAACCTTTAAAGAGAGCATAGTCTTTAAGTTATTTTGTTTAAAATGAATATAATTCAAACTTGGATTATCTTCAGAGTTGGAGCAGATTAATTTCAAATTATCAATCATTGTAAAGAAAAGTCATACATTTTACCATTACATTTTCATTATGTATCTATCATTCCAGGATGTGTTAGTACTGGTTCTTATTGCTAGGTCAAAAACCAGCATTCCACAACATCTGATGACAAACTTCCTTATTTGTACAAAAGAGCAATCCATAATTTCTTTTATTTTAAGTAAAAGTTTTGAGTAGTGTTTTAGTGCAGTATTTCAATCCCATCAGTATGTATAACCATTGTACTATGGTCACAGAGTTTTCTTGTACCCTTTAATAACTTCATCAAAGCAATTCAGTTTTATTTTTTATCTTATCTATCTTTTATAAACAATCTAAACAAGACATGAAAATCAATCTGAAAAGATGAGATCACTTTTTTTATGTAAGTTTACAAGACTCATTCAAATAAAGCTACTGCTTGAGCAAATATTTAAATTATATTTTTACTATCATTGATCATAATTTGTGCATCACAATGAATGCATTTTCAGATTTTTAATTAGGCGAGGTATATTAACTAATTTATATGAATAGTATTAATAGTTTATAGAAATAGAGATATTTAAAACTAAAACTACATAATAATACTATTTGGCAAAAATTTTAAAAAAATTTAATTTGACTTTTCTCAAATAATATCTTGCCAAAGTAATTCTATACACATTTGAAATTACAAGAACAATAAAAAAAGAAATCTTTGACTGGATTCTGCAACCAGTGGTCCTATAGGCAATTAAATGTAGAGGTTCAAAATAATTTTTTAATAATTATTTACATCAAGTGTAATAGTAATATATATAATTTTTGCATGTTTCCTATGGCCATACTAAATAATTATATTATCTTCCAATGATTATTAATAAAGTTCCAAAACATCCAGTTTAAATATTTAAATGCTAAAAACTTCTTGTTGCAAATAAGGTAAGAGTTTATAACTATACTCAACATTAAACAAGAGACAATGATAAAATATATCACATTGGGGCTGACATGTTTTTTTCAAAAGCAACTTCATTTTTATTCAGAAAATAGCTGTCCTAAAATTAATTGAATTTCCATTGATCTACATGATGTTTATAGTACAGCTGGGTTGTTATAATCACATTGGGTTACTTTGCTTAAGTTAAATGACGACTGTGAAATAATAGAGAGCAAGGTGACATCCATCATATTGTAATGGACCAACAATGTCATCTGACATACACAGGTACAATGAAAATATCTGACTCTTAAGAGTTAAAATTTTTAAAATACAGTTTTATTTCCTACTCCCTCTAGTGCAACAAATTTTTTTTTTAGCTAGAATAAACTTTAGTTGTTTCAGGACTAGAGAAATAATCATAAGTCCCACAAATATTTTATAGCAATAAAAGCCTCTTTTTATTCTTTTTTTTTTATTAGTTTCTTTTACTTAAGAAACTGTCAATTTCTGAATCAGAATAATAAAATTCCATGTCATCAAAAACGTTGGAAACTACCGGTACTGCACTTTTCAACTTATATATTTTAAAGGATATTTTCTCAATTTTTGTGTGTCTTATTCTTAGTTAAATAGTTTTCCTGATGAATATAATTCAAACTTGGATTATGTTTGTTATAATTGTTTGAGGCTGAAATGTTCTAAAATCTGCTTTTAATACTTAGAAGCTGAATTAAAATGTAAATATGCTTTTAAATTTCAAGGAATTTGAAACAGATTTCGTATTTAAAATGACCTGATTTGAGTTATAGTGTATTTTTTTTTTAAAGTAACTTATTTCCATCATTTTTTAAATTCTATAATTTCATTCAAAATAAATCTACTTTTTTAATTTTTAAAAAAATAGGAGTATAAAATTTAATACAAAGGCAGAGATATTTTTTACCAATTCTCATAAAAAAGATGAAATATGCTGTCTATAACCAAAGTTTTACAAAAAAAGTGCTTTCAACAGTATTTACAAATCTTTCAAAAGGTGTCTGACAGAGTGATAGTAACATGTTCTCTACAGATCTCACAAGCGTTCAACCATTGAAGACATATCTTTCCATAGACAAGTGTTGAATTCATCAAATTACACATTCAAAATCAAAACAATGGCAATAATACAGATGTTGAACAGAGCGAAACCACGTGAAAAGTTAATCCTGGCCTTAATATTTGTATACACTACATTAAAAAATAGAGCAAATTCATAACATTTGTATATACAACATTTTTTTAAAAAATCACTCCCAAGCATGACCTAACGTTTTTTGGTGTATAATAAGCAACAAATAGTATATCAAAATTTTATCGATCAATACAAACAGTACAATGCATAAACTTTCACAAACACAAGCCAGCAAACACAGCCAAACATGCAGGTTTTATATTTAAAGCTTCAACAACACCAGTTTGCAAGGACACACTCAGGTATGCCACACAGCCAATACATTCACAGCATTGATCTCAGCATTACTAGTACCACACACATTTAGGATTACTCAGAAATCAGCTCCTACACCCTGCCTCCTTTCCGTGCATGTGCAAATGATGTACACATATATTTGAAAAAAAATTACACACATGGTACTACCATAACATCCAAAACTTTTTTTTTAAATTGACATAATTGAATCAACAACGCAATGCATATTCACAAATATATACATCAGAAATAGCTTGGTTGATCCATCACTCAGCTTTAACCCAAGCATTGTCAAAACATAATTTACTGCTTCACGCAACTAAACATAGTTATGTTGGTAGTTGATTCCAACTTAATCATCATATATAATAAAATGTTTCTTTGTATCAAAATCTTTTAAATGACAATGCTGTTGGTTTGATGGCAGATATATAAAAATGTATAGATAGATTTACCAAACAAATTCTTTAAAGAAGCATGTTCTACAAAAAATCATTGTGCCTCATACTTTGACTAACATAAGATGCACACATTTTGGTGCCATCAGAGGCAATGTAGACTCTTACATGTAAAAACTCAAAAGTGTCTCTTAACAAAGTAAGGTTTTCTTTTTATTTCAGAGCCCTTAAAATTTCAAAATGTTATGCATTACTTTCATGATTAAAAATACAGATCTAAAAATAAAATTGGTACTGTGATCTGAGGTGCAATTCAAAAAACGACAAACAAACGGTTTTGGCAATGGAATTATATCCCTCCAGACTCAAACGTTAAATAAAAATTAGTTGCTTAAGCTGTGTTATTCAAGTTCCTTTGATGGAAAAAATTTCATTCAGAAAGTTTAAGTAAAAAGATAAATAAAAATAATATATTTTTCCATTTGGTTTCACTCAGGATTGTGTGTAATGACAACACAAGGCACATTTGCTGCATACAACTAGAATATCAGTGGAAAAACTATCCCAAAAATAAAAAAAATACTTTATTTCATTTGACTCATTTTATAAGAGATCATATAACATGTTCCTGAATCTAAGCAGCTAATCCATATATATTTTTGACTGAAGTTTTGTAATTTTGCTTCTTGTTTGAATTCTTAATGGATGAGTTTCTCAATTTAAAACTGTTCAAGATTTCTTTCTAGTGTGAGAAGAAAAGCTATAATTAATTCTACTATTACTAATATCTAGTGTGAGAAGAAAAGATATAATTAATTCTACTATTACTAATATCTTTATCATACCAATGGCTCACTTCCACCTTCTGCAAATGATGTTCCACCCCTAACATCAAGTATCTCTGTACATTTTTATTATTTGAGCCTTTTAAGTGCCCTGAGAGCAAACTGTATAATAATGTGTCACTTTTAAATAATACAAGAGGGGGAAGGGAACATGTCATTGAGAATAATATCTATATTTTTAACATTTGAACAAAAAAATTGCTAGTTACTTTAACATATCCATCTTTCTCTAGGGAAACTATCAGTTATAATTGGCTTCTTAGGTGTCAGCAATTTTGGAACAGGTTACCTACTGATCCATGATATAATTGTATAGCAGTACTAAGTAGGAAACTTATTAAAAGTTTAAAATTATTTAACTGCCAATTTCCTATTTATGTATTAAAAAAAAAATAATTTTCTGTTCCATTGCAACACAGAGCTTTGTGATCATAAAGCAATTCTAGAATAAGGCAAGTCTAAAAGATTCTATTGCTGGCCCCTGTGATCATTAAACTCAACATTATCAAAATAGCTTCATTCCACTCCTACAATGGAAATGTTCACTACAGTCATGAGCTAAAATGTAAAGCACATATTTATGTTACATAAATGGCACAATTTTTAATAGCTAAGTCTGACAATGACCCACTGAAATTTTTCTCAGACATTTTTCCTTAAGTAGCAATTAAAAAAAAATGTAAAACACTTAAGATGTTTCTAACCTGCTGGGAAATGTTGCCATAGTTTAAATTGACAAAACAACAACAGAGTAACCCCAAACTGTCTAATATCATAGTCACTTTGCTAGTAACAAAACATGGCAAATGTTGACAATAAGATTCAAAGTGGTTTTTATTGTCTTTTTGTGGGGTTACCTCAGAGTCTCAGTTATAATTATTTGGTCATCACAATGAACAGACAAGATATGAACACTTGACAAATAACTAACAAATAATGATAACAAGACATGTCCAAAGGTGCATCATCAAACTGCCTTAATTCTACTAAATCCTTGCTATCTGCAACAAATATATCAGTGTTTATACTCTTTAGCAACAACTATTCACTGCATTTAATGAGGTGATGCATGTTAAGATGGAAACAACAATTTTTTTTATTATTTAAAGAGCACATGGCGTGCATTTTGGATTCTCTCAGCAACTTTGGTCAAAGCTGACACACATAAAATTTGAGATTCTAAGTCTGGTTGCACTGGTTTTATTTAGTTACTGCCTGGTTAGTTTTTCCAAGACATGTATAGTTTCTTCTCCAACAATCTGTTAACATCAGAGTACTTGGCAAAAACAGTTTGAAAATCAATTGAGGAAAGTCCTACTTGTATCACTGTTTAAATCTATGAATTCAGCTAATGCAGCATCCAATCAAAAGAGCATGCTCTGTCTTCTTAGTTTACCTGGAGGGAAAGAAACCAAATACTTTGAAATGTGTATTTAAAAAAAAAAATTACATGTGTTTTCTAATGCTTTGGAAGCGTGGGCTAAATCCAAACTAGGGCTTTTAACACTTATTGATAGGTTGAGAAAAAAAAAAGAACATTCCCTTACTTTAAAAGATTTTTTAAACATTATGGAAAAATTAATTGTGAAGATTTAACCAAGAGGCATGAGAAAAACATTAATGAATTACTATTACTATTAGCTTGTAGTCAAATTAAAATGGCAGAGCAATGAAATGGCTTTGCTACTACTAAACAAGACAAACCAAACAATACAAACAGCAT